CTGTTTTTTCCACATGTCATACGCGTTGTGTAGATACCTTAAGCACCGATCACGTGGATATTAGACGTTGTTAGATATCATGGAAAATGCGTGATGCATATGAGCAAAGTGCAATGCGATACGCGATACGCGCAAAAATATTAAATTGTACAACGCCTGGTAATGAAAGCTTTTCACAGAATGCATGTCCTCATTAATAGTATTTTGTTTAATGAAATATAAAAAAAGCTGTTAATGATACATGTGTAAATTATTAAATAATTTTCAAAAAGTATACCTATAGCAAATTTTAATAAGATATATAATAATAAGGAGATATAGTAAACTTAAACAATTGTAAAATAAAAATTTTGAATGGCAACCAACAGCAACTTGCCGCGTGACAATAATATGTAGCTTCTGTATCGTCTAAATGTATTATTTCTCGCGCTCGGAATACCCTCTGTACTTAAAACGTGACAAGTATTCAAGCCGTCATTAACAGGCACATATAGGATGGTGAAAAAAGAACGCAAAAGTGCGGTATAAGCGGCGCACCGATCGACAGTCACGGAATCTGCGAAACTACGCGAGCGGGAGAAAGTTCTCGCGAGATGCAAGCGCAATTACAGCGAGTGATAAAAGTGCCACTTAGCACTATAATCTGCGAATATTTTTGCGTCCTTTTGATTTGACAGAGAAACGACGGGCAACGAGAAATCGAAATGCCACTTTGCGTCGCAATTTATCCATTCGTTTCCACACCGCGGTATTATTTCTTTTTTCTTTTACGTGTAAACTACTTGTGTAAACTACTTGAGTTACGAACGCTTCTCTTTTTTCTCTCTGTCTCGCATTATGTGAAAAACAATTTTTGACGCCACGTAAAATATCGCGAATTCGGGGCAACAAGGTAGAATATATTTCCTTCGTTTATTTATTAATGTCTTGTTAAATCTGTAGATCTTTTAAATATCCCCCTCATCAAATTCTTAAAATAAAATCAATCTTATTTTGTTACATATTTTAATATTAACAAATTGCTATTTTAAATTCTAAAATAAAGTTAAATTAACACAAAAATGGTTTAGATAATTTTACCGCGTAAATAATAAATCAGCTGTTTCCTACCCGCATCGAAAACACCCTGAATAAGCGCAAGTACTTGAATTCACTATCGATTAAAATCAACCATTTTATCCAAGAGACCAGATGCATATTTTTTAAAGCGTGCATCTTTGCGCGACGACGAATCATCCGCTTTAGGAAGACTCCGGCAAAGAGAAAACAACATTGGCGGGTACCGCCAACGCGGTCTTCTCATCGTCTAATTGAATGGCATTTTATTTAGCACAGTTCCCCGCACTCTGGATAGCCGCCATTTACCTCAATTACGTAATTCACCGTACACAACCGACCGCGCAGCTATCCACCATAGGCATCGCATGGGTGATGGCGCAGCCGATGGTAGTGGTGGTGGTGCGGTGATGGTGGTGGCGGTCGACTGATGACACGTGTTTGCGCTACTGCCGCCATGCAATTAGCCTCCAATGTAATTTCGCGCCTGTAAGAGCGTGCCACGCTCTTTTGGCCTAGTGCCGTTCCCGCGGGCGCATCGGTACACCGGTATTACGAAGAGGGAAGTGATTTTGTCGAGGACACGTAAGGAAATTCGAGCCTCGTGCCATTCTTGGTATTTTCGTGTCCGGCGCACTTTTGCATATCGCACGTATCGCGCCGCAACGTCACGTATTTGCATTTCAAAGATTTAAAAGTCGTCTTCAAAATTAACACACTTTCTCGTTTTAAATAATATTTGTCATGCCAAATTTTGAAAAAAAAAAAAAAAAGAAAAATTAAACCACGTAGAGTGTAAAATGAAAGTGGCAAATATGAGTGCTTATACTAAAATAGCGTGAATAGATATGCATAGAGGAAAAAAAATATCAATATTTATATATCGTGTGTCTTTCCTATTCAAACATATTATTTCATGAGGGATATTACCGCGGAATAGTTTTCATGTAAGCGTACAATTGTAGTTGCATGCAACAAACCTATAGATATTTCAAATTTGATCATAAAACTCTCCGCTATATCTAAAGGGCTGTTATCATGTAACAAAATAGAGTTTTGCGTATACTTTATTCTCGTAGATTAAAAGTTTTATGTCACTCAATATATCTTCGTGTTTTCTATTTTCGTTTATAATTTTGCAATTTTATTTCTTCAATAATCGGTAAAAATAGATCGGTTAAAATTATTGATAATTATTGCATATAAGCTAAAGTTATATATGCATTTTTCGAAATATCGGAAAAATACGTCATCTTCAGTATGACGTGGACAATTATTTATCGATAAAATTGTGTAATTAATATCGCGTTTTCCTGAGCGTATCGAAAATGAGTGCTCGCGTAATTAAAGCATCGAGTCCGTACACCGACGAAACGTGACGCAATGTTAATAGACGTGGTATTATCTAGCGACTAATATCATTGTAGACGATAACTACGCTCAAGACAGTAATTGTGCTCGCTCTGACTGATTAAGTGTAATTATAATCCAGAAAGAAATGTCTCTAGGTCACTGTGCTAGGATGACAATCAACGAGTTCCTGTTTCAATTGTCCCGCGTCATATATATTTCTAAAGTTTTACCGAAATCTCAGAGACAGATTTACTCCGCGTGTTGTGGAAACAATTTTTATTACATTTATTAGAATGTGAATAAAATTTATATTTAATATTAATAATATAAAATAAAGAGAATAAAATAGTTAAATATTTTCAAATTTGAATTAATAACATCGACGTATATAATTTTGTTGAAATTAAATTTAATCTATACGCACAACATAGTTTTTACAAATAAGATCAAAAGCACGATATTAATTAATATAAAAAGGAGAAAGAATGACTGCAATAAAAATTCATTAGCCAAAGTATATCAATTTTCATAGAAAATGTCGCTCTCACTCATTTATCATGAATCATTCGTAAAAAAACCTTCAATCAAACGATGCATAATGAAGACTTATTTATCATTCATCATTTAATTACGAATGTTAAAGAGATGATAGAATGATATATCCACTAATGAAAAAATTTAATTAAATTAATTACACTGATACGTATTACACGGTATTGATAGTCAATGAGTGCATAAGTACAGACGGTTGAGGCTACTCATGAACAAGATCTAATCTATCTCTGCTCGTTCACCCGATTCCTAGATACTATCAGTAAAGAGTCTATCTCATTACAAACTGCACTTCATACTAAAGTTAAATATTCTCACTACCGCTGCATACATTTACGACGCCAAATTGTCCAAGAAATTCAATCACAAGATTAATGGAATGCAATATGAATAATTTTTTGTTATGACCGAGTGTTATTTTTATATTGTTTATCTAAAGTTTTCATCGTACTCTTGTTATAATTTTATATTATATAAATAACTAATATAAATAAATTGTGATATATAAAAGTAAAGTTCCAGTTGCTGGATCATTTGAAAGTTAAAAATATAAAATAAATGACACAATAATATTTTCTTCCGGTTTTTATTTATATGCAAATTTATAAATCATAGCGTCAATCGGCAGGGTGTTTATTATTCAAGCGTGTAATTATTGCGTCGCTAATCTTTGAGATTTAATTAGTAACAACAAATCATCACATAACAATCACATTATCGAAACTGTTGCTGTTAAAAACTATGGCCAATTTGATACAATTGCAACGGTTTATATAACAATAAAAGGAAAGAAAAAAAATTGCTCCATTCGCATGACAACTTTATGTCTGTCTTTATATCTTTACATTGGCGATTCACTTTCTTCATATTGAGTTGATAAACGGAGTTAAACATGGTTTTTTCTTTTTTCAAAGAATTCAATAATATTTATGTGATCAATACTGATAATACAATTACAATAAACTGTATAGGTTGATAAAATTTATCATTCTGGATGAATGACTCGATACAAAAGAATCGAATCATATGACAGTCCAATAAATGTCACATGTTGCGAGTTATCTGGGTATATAATATAACACATGATTCTTGTTTGGTTTTTTAATAGTATTAACTTAATATGTTCCATATTTTTTTATTTATCATTACATTCCCATTTTCAATAAATAATTAGAAATGTAAAAAGTATCACAGTGTTCTTGAAAATAAATGCAATTTTTATGCAACTAATTATCGACAGCTGCCTGAAATTCAAATTGATATAAGAGTAATGTGTATGCCGACAAGATTTTGAGTATGTAATAATTATTCTTAATGACTATGGGATATGATTACATCATAAATTTAAAATAAACCAACAGATTTGATTATCGAATATAATAAATAAAATGTGTGAAACTCTTCTCACTTCTACTAAATTTTGATTTCATCAAAGTCTGCGAAGAGAATGCATAAAAAATAATATTTAGCGTATAAATTTGGAGAAACAAAAATTTTGGAGATTGAGAGTATTGAAAAAGACGAATGAAATTCTTTGAAAAATAAAAACCAAACATTTATTAAAATACTATGTGAGGAATATAAACACATGTTTTGCTTATAATGATCTCTTACAATAGATACAAAGTAGTTTACGTGAAGTGAATACTGTGTACAATATATAATAGCTTCTTTCATAGTTTGTTGTCTATCTTTGAGTCAAGAGGACCTAAATAAAAGTCGAAACTGACACGATCGAAATCAATATTTGTTAACAAGAATGAGATAAAAATTACGAGTACTACATCTACTGCAATTATTTTATAGCACATATTATATTGTATCAATAATCAATAATTGATGTTCCCCCCATATTTGAAAAGAATGAGATAAAAATTACGAGTACTACATCTACTGCAATTATTTTATAGCACATATATCGTATCGATAATCAATAATTGGTGTCGCCCTATTTTCATCGTTACTAAGATTAATTAATTTGAACAAAACAATCCGAAAGTTGCGATTTGGATCGTAATCTCTGTATTCTCGTGTCTCAGACTGTCAACCTTGGAAGATCGCCCACAAGTAATCCGTCCGAGCTGAAGCGAACTCTCTCAAGAATCGAGACGTCGACGATCGGAATGTCACTCGTCCCTCACCTCGCGTCACCTGATAGAGCGCGCGACTTAACGAATGAATGAAACTCGCTCGCAGGAGAACAACAGACGCGATTCTGCGACGCGCTGGCCTCCTTGGAGCAATATCTCGGACGATATCAGCCGGATACCTAATACGCCCGACGAACGAACGGACTTCCCCGGGCAGGCAGGTATACAGAGCACCTCGGCGCATCGTCGGTAGCCCCGAGGGCGACCGGGTAGACGTAGGCGCGGTTGTTCTTCAGCGACACCCATGTGGATACCATAATGGCCTCCGCAACTCCAATCGCCGTTGCAGAGTTTATATACGTTTGGTGGGGTAGAGCGCGACGCGCCAATCGCGAACGCGCCTGGCACCCTTCACAGGCTTCGCCTTGAGTAGCGCCGCTGCGGCGACTCTCGGAAACGGTGAACCAGGCTCCGGGGAGCGGCTCGGGCTTCATTATGTATCATTATACCGGTCCGCGTCGCGCGGTGTGCACTGCAGTTACTGGAACCAGACGCGCGTGTGTGCTCTTCTCTCCTCTTCTATACGCCCTGGTCATCGTCGTCTTCTTCTCTTACTTTCTTCGTCCAGTCGGTGCGCGCGCGATACGCTCGTCGGGCCAAGTGTAATCGCGGCGCGACGCGCGTAAAAAGCACACCGTCGCCGAGGAGGTGCGCGAGCGGGCGCGCGCGCGGGTCCACGACGTGCAATTAAATGAAATCGGCGACGGGCGCGAGTGTCGAGTAGAGGACACCCCGATATCCTGGTCTCTCGGAGTCTACCGTTTTCGGTCGATGTGATCGCGGACCGCGAGTACCCCGAGTCAAGCTGTCATCATCGCTCGTCGCGACGCGGAAGCGCGAGGGACCGATATGTCGACGGCCTGGTCGCGACGTCGCGACGCGTCTCCGTTTGGCAGCCGAGCGACCACGAGCTGACACGAGCACCGGACAGTCATCATCGAGTAGCATCGACCTGGACCCTCTCTCTCTCTCTCCCGGAGAGGCTGGCTTTGCGACAACAGTGTTTCCGCGAGGATCAGTACGCGTGTGAAGTGGACAAGTGTGACAAGTGGTGTCGGAGCTGAGAAACAAAAACATCCGAGCGACGGGTGAGTGCGACGGCTCACGTGCAAGCGTAGACTCCGCCGGAAGCGAGTGAATATATTCTCTCGAACATCGCGACAGTGCGCGACTCGAGGTGACCTAACCGAGTGCGAACAATCGAACTCCGTTTCTACGAGCGCGAGTTTGGAGGAGGTTCGAAGGAGGTTTCCAACCCGACGGCGGCTGTCGGCGCCGATGTCGGCTCGCCGCGCTTGCTCCGACACTCGCTCGTCCTGGTAGCGTCGCGCGCCTACCTAGAGTGGCCCCAAGATTCGGGCCCCGTACGGAGGCCGGGCGGCGGCGACGACGTCGTCGGCGAGTCTAGCGAAGATCGTGGGCTGTGGCGGCGGCATTGACGTCGTGTCTAAGGTGGAGCGTCCGGGCAGCACGACGACGCTCAACTTCACGGACCTGGGGAGCCCATTCGGGGCGGGCGACCCCTGTCCGTCGAGTACCCCGACCCCGAATAGCATGTCGGGCGGCGGCGGACCGACCGGCGGCAGCGGCGGGGGCGGCGGGGGAGGCGGCGGCGGCGGCGGGACCGGGGGCGCCAATTCCGACATGGAGCAGCATCTTCATCACGCCGGCCTCGGCTCGGTGACGCCCGGGCCGCCCGGCGGGAACGGCAGCGACAGCACGACGTCCAGCACCCCCGTCTCCCAGAGCGGCAAGTCCGCCTTCATCGAGCTCCAGCACAATAATCTGTATAACCCGGCGAGTCTACGAAGCGGTTACCCGGGCGGCCACAACGTCCCCGGCGCCCATCAGTTCTCGCATCAGGTCGGCTCGCTCGCGGCCCACCAGGGCTCCGGCCCCGGCAGCGGGAACCAGCAGCACGCGGACGCGGGCTTCCCCAGTCCTAGATCCGCGCTCGCCGGATATCCGTTCGCGCCCATGCACCAGCACAACGCCTACGGATATCACCTGGGATCGTACGCCCCCCAGTGCCCCTCGCCGCCCAAGGACGGTGAGTACCCCAACTGTATGTATTCGCAGCCTTTTTACATTTCTATTAGCTCGTAGGTCTAGTTTGTTAGATCGCCGATGGCTCTCCGTTCCGTGCGTCGATTTCGTCGGTGTGTTCTTCATCCTTACGATGGGCCCTAACGAGGTCCTACGAGATCGGTCGAGTTTTCGCGAGTGCAAAGTGTCGTCATGGAACGGAGATACCATCTCGAAGGGCTCAAGGCGAAAGCGCTTATGCGTAATTGACGACGCGCGCGGCAAAATTGACGACGCGAACAATTTCTCCCGTTAATTACGATCGAGGAAACGCTCGTAAACAAATTCGCCTTCAATTCGATAATCAACAATCCAGCGTAATAAATCAAGAGTCTCGTAACGTCAGTGTGTTCTTGAGGAGCGGATTGGAAATCGCGCGCGCTCCGAATGTTAACTCGAATAGTCATCTTGGGCCTTACACTTTAGATATAGATAGATAAGAGCTTTCTTTTCGGAGTCGTCCATCATCGGTACGCTAATAACTGGACGACTTCGAGCTGCGAATATCGTGCCAGCGATTGTAACATTTGTCAAGAATCACCTTGACACGAGGCAGAAATAAGACGGCGACAGGCGTTTCCGGTGGGTCACCTGTATCTCGCGAGCGTTTCGTTACATTACGACTTTATTGTACGGCCGCGGGGGGGTGGGGGTGGGGAGGGAGGGTTCTTTTATCGCCCCCTCGCGCTCGGCGAACGTCTTAATCCGCGCTCGCGAATTTCCGCGCGACGACAAAACGCGAAACGCTCACCTACTTCTTCGCGGCGCAATCAGATGCTGCGTTTTGTTCGGCGTAAAAAAGAAACTCTGGCCGCGTGTTTACCGCGACTCGCGATTCCGTCAGCCCGGTTTTACGTCGCTCGTTACCCTTCCCCGTGCGACACTTTAGAAAGTTTACTTTGTAGCCTCGCATTATCTTTATAATCTTTATCTCCATTCTATAACGGAGGTTATAAACTGTAAAAAACTCGAAGAAATTGGAAATGAAAGTTTTTTTTTTTAAATAAATAACGGAATAGAAATTTGAAACTTTCTTTTTTTTTCATTTAAATTACATTTCATTTTTAAGTTTATCAATTCCTCATGAATGAGACGGTTAATTTACCGATTCAATTTTTACGTCGCAGGACGTAATTTAAAACGGAGATTCTCGAGGTAAAAATAAAGGTAGAGGAAACGCGGGGCACAAAAAAAAATATATTTAGGGTAGCAGGTAGTAGTAGCCGGTCGATGCCCTAGCTATGTCACACGGCACAATGAGACGGAATAAGATATATGACTAAGAATCCTCGGGGCCCAAAAAGTCCCGCGAAGCGGCTAACGAACGAGACAAAAAGATTCGGGACCAAACGGGAGCAGTCACGGCTTCTCCTCTAAAAGTCTCTCGCTCTCGTAGGGGTTTCCTTCCGATCATCTCGTTTCTTCCCTCGTGTTTTTGCTTCTCCGAATCGCATTAGCGCGATGTAATCGCGATTTTTGTCTCGCGCGCGAAATCCCGAGTCACTTAATTGCGATTATTATCGGATTCGCCCCTGCTTTGTTGCGGATCGCGGAATCGCTCGAGACATTACACGATGACACTACGATACACGAGTATCTTTGCAAGTACATTGTCGTTGGAATTGGGAAAAAAATGAAGATAATCGTTCAAGATTCTCAGCGCGAGAAATTATAATAACGGAAAAGCCACAAATAGCGCAATTAATTTGAATCGCGCGTGTGTGTGGGTAACGTTACAAGTAGTCTTATCATATTTCATCGAAATTTTTCTTCCATTTTATTCGTGTGTCACATGCATGGTATACCTTTGACGCATTTCTCCCGTAACATGAGCCTATTGTACACATCGACGTCGCGAAATCGCGTGATCGAGATAACTTATTTCGCTCGGAGAGAAAGTCCGCGTGCCCCGTAGCGACATTTGCGCCGGCTTCTCGGCTCGATTGCATTTTCAAATATAACCCGGGTTACCCTGTCTGGAAATATTCCGCCATAGTCGCAACATTCGGCGAATAATTTATCGCGCGATATAGAGGGGCTCCGTCGGCTCGCGCTCGGAGAAAAGGCCTCTTGCGGAGGCTCGGGAGGACTCGTGAAAGAGAGACCGGGTGGCGACGATAGTTTGCTACCCTCCGTTTACGCCCCATGAATTCGTAACGTCCATCGCAGGGCGATCTCTCTCTCTCTCTCTCTCTTTCTCGCTGAAAGTCCGTGCATTTCTACGGAATCCTCCTCTCTCTTGGGTGAGCAATTTTTGCGGCGCCCCTCTCGAAAATTGCCTCGGTGAGCTCTTCCCCAACGCGAGAGCGAGAATCGCGAAAGGGTTTCTCTGCGGAAAAACTTTCTTTTCCCACCGAGCCGGGAGGAATCCGCGAGCCGACGTCGCGTCAGCTGATCGCTCGGCTGTCAGGGGGCTGAATTCTCACGCATGGGAGGGAAACTTGCGTTTCGCCTTTAAATTACCGGTCATTTTCCTTCGCAACTTACTCTCCGCGCGCGGCTCGCTTTTCATAAATCGTACGGTAACGAAATGCATTATTCCCCCGGTCCGCTCCGTAGAAATTTTATCGAAGGGTTCGCATAACTTTGGCATTTCTGCGACGGAAATTTCTCCAGCGGAAGTTACGCGTCCCCCGTTGTAATGCTTCGAGTATAAGACTCGTCGAAACTCGTCGCATTTCTTCCTAGGTATTATGGGAGCAACGAAAGCGAACGAGCGCGTGATGCGACAATCATCGTCGAATAAAAATCGTGGCCATTAACGAGATCGATCGCGCCGATTTAATCGATTGAATGATAAATGCAGCATGACAATTGCGATCCGTCTAATTGCTAACGAGCACGCCATACTATTTGTGCATTCCGCTCGGACAATAAAAGCGATTCTGTCACTTGTCCATCTGATCGACGCGCAAAGTTACGATTATTTCCGAGCGATTTTGATTATCCAATTGAAAGAAAGGTGACGCGGTAATTGCGCAAAGTTTACATGCGTATTGCATAATATTAAACGCGCATCCGCATGCGATCGATTCGCGGCACAATTAGTCGCGACACGTTTTTAACGTTGCAATTTGTCGGGTAATTGTGAAAAATTTAATCGAAAAATAGTTGTATGAATATTAAAATGGCTATTGGAAGTGAAAATAGAGGCAAAGAAGCCAGAAAAATTTTTAGCATATGGATTAACGTATTTTAATTTAAAAAAAATAAAAAGTAATCAATATCGCTCTATTTTGATATCGTTTTTTTCAATAGAAGAATGTTTGCGATATTTATTCCAATCTGCGAATAAGTTTCATGATTTAATGATGATGTCTTGAATTTTTTAAATTAAATATTTTAAATAAAATTTTTTTAATTTAATAGAAAATTAAATTAAATTTTTTAAATTAAAATTAGCGCGCAAAGCCTTCGATCGATGAATGATTAATAATAATAATCGTCGCGATTCAACAGAAAAACTATCTTTTGTGAAATACATAATTCGTGAGCACATCTCGCATCTTATTCGTGGCCCGGATTTTCTGAGAACTTCTAATCTCTCTCGCGCGCAGTCTATTTCCTAGAAAGGCACGCTCGACCGAACATCGGTCGGTTTCCGCGAACTCGGTTGGAGAGATAAGAGTTGAACCGAAATATACGATACTTTTGATACTTTTGTGCAACTTGTAGTGATTAAAGTATCGCATAAGAGATAATCGTTTATCCACATGTTGAAACTGTCATCGCATTTCTTATCGCGCATACATGCATTTCAGGTTTCAATCTGGTAACTCGCATAAGTTATTTCGTCCATTTTACCCACATAAGCTCGCGATCATTTAACATGTAGTTAATTTGTTCAAAGTCAGTTTATTTTATATCGTCGTTTAGAGCGATGATGTCGGTTCCTCTCGCACTTTTAGAATCTTAATGAAATTGTCCGATATTCGACAAACTGAGAGAGGAAAAAAGAACTGTCATTGCATGTACACAGAGAAAAATATTATTCTACTGCCAAGAAAAGCGATTACTCAGTTTATTTTTCTTCTTTTAAGTAATAGTTTTCTTCAACAAAGAATATATTCTTGATAATAATCTTAAAATATACTCACAAGTGTTAGAAAATCTCATTATCATGTACTCAAAAGAAGAATTTATTTTCTCTTCAAGAATATGGTAAAGTTGTATCAAAGAAAAATCAAACTTACCCTACGTCAACTCTTGTAGTAAGCAAAGCAAATTTTTGTTTCGATTTAATATTCTTGACTAAAATACTGCACTTACTAAAATTCAGAATATATTCAATTAAATTAATGCTTGTGGTAAACTTATGATACATTTGCGGATATACAAACTTATGGTATACTTAAAATAAATTAATAACTAATATTTACTTGAATACAGTATACATTTTTCTCTGTGTATGGCGAATATACTCGTGGCATGTTTTGCGAGTCGACGAATCTTATCGTTGCGTCAAGTGGATCAGCTTGTCATCGCATCCGCATCACGCCCGTTGTCTTTTTCTCGAATGAACGAACAAACGTGGTTGAAGCTGGAATCCAATTAACGGGTGCTTCTCTCGTATCAGACGAGGCGCCCGTCGGTATCTCGCATCAGTCACCTGACTTGACGTCCGACTGCCGCCCGACTTAATCCGGAACGGTCGAAAGACAATGCTTCCCCGGGTCCGAGTGATGGATTAGGTATTAAATGATTGTTTTCATAAGGATTAGGCAGAGGTATACCTGGGGAGCTTGGCACGGCTTGGCTTCTTTGAAATCCTGCCGAACTATCGGATTTGTACAAGTCGTGTTTTCGTCAGAGATACATTCCCGGATATCATACCTATCAGTTGTGTGCTTTCTTCACAACTTAGAGAATTTAAATAAACGAATCTCGTAGTAAACATATGGGAAAAGCTCGAATAATATGCGCGTATTATTGTCAAAGTAATAATAATTGGCGGCAGAAATCATGTCTTGTATCAATATTCTTATTTAGATTAGTAAGAGATATTTTTGACGGATAATAAAGTAGCTTACAATCACGAAATATCGTATAATAAAATTTACAAATTTTAAATAAATAAATAAATAAATATTCCTTTATGAAAAAATGGCGAGTTAGTCCGATAAAATATTTGAATGAGGAATCTCTCTCCTCTCTTAGACTGAAATACAGTCTTGATTATTTGTTGCGCAGTGTGGTAGCGATGTAGAAATATAAAATGTCGGTTCGGAGCGACAATGTTGGACAGGTTGCGTTAAGTCCAGCCTAGGGCAGAGAGACGGACACCTTGTAATTTCAAGCTCTTTGGATTGAGAGCCGCGCGCTTACCGTGTGATTATCAACGTCGCATTAATCGCTCGGTGGGCTTATTATCATACGTTCGGTTGGGTTTGATTATGTGACTCTAAAAGAACCTTCCGCGATGCTAGGCGGCTGAATGCGCGCCAAAGTAACACTTTGCGGCGGTCTCTGCCGCTGCCGCGCATTTTGCATACGCCTCGCTGTTAACGACCGCGTAGTCTATCCTCTCTATGCATCCGTACCCTTCTCGCGACTTTGTAAAAAAAAAAGCATCCATAAAACAGTACCTCTCGCTCTTTTCACGTGCGCGTCCGCGTGAACAGGGATAACTCCCGCCCCGGTCGACGTCGCGTCGCCTCAACCGGCTGTAATTAACAACGGGAGCTCGTAATCCCTGCTAACGCCTCTATAAAATTTATTGCGCACTACGTTATGCGGCGGTGATACGTCGCGCGACGATATTAACCGACGATATTGCATCACGGTAGGAAAAATATTGGGTGTTGATCGATTGTAAAAAGATATTTTTTCGAGAGGAAAATTTACCAAGCACGTAATACTTTTCCAGTCTTTTTATCTCATCATTTTTTCAATCGATTGACGATTTTAATTATTCCAACGAGATGTTAAATTTTAATTAATTAGAAAATGTATAAATGAAAAAAATTGCGAATAATTTAATCATTTAAATTAATAATTTAAAATGCGTTTTAGGCGTGAATAATTAGAAAAAGTATACATTATTTTTGTGTAAGATAAAGAAAAGATATTCCATTTGATTTACCTTTTGTCATCGCCTGAAGAAGATGTTTATATTATACTTGCATTGTAAAGATTGCACACGCCCGGTATCGTCTCTGAAAACTGCAACGGGGAAGATAAACACGAGCGTAAACACGCGATTGCATCGCCATGGCGAAACGTAAACCTCGCGGACAGAATTTATGGGGGGATCATTATTGATCTCTTTTACGCACGATCAAAGTCTCCCTGTTGGCGCTCCATCGATCCCCCTCTCGTTCATCGCGACACGCTCGTATATAAATCACGTGGAATCACGCCTGCGAACGACACTCGGCGGCTCGCTTCGAGTAAATTATGCACTCTAATTAATACTCGCGTTAATTGTCGTGTCAATTGTGAAAGGGGGAGGCCTCTCGCTTGAAATCGTCGCGTCGCTTCGTCTCCGGGTCTCTCTCGACGTCGACGTTTCCCGTTTACTCGCGACGCGAATCGCGCATCGGGGCCACCCGGGTCGAGGCTCTCCGCTCCGCTCCGCTGGTGAAAAATCGGTCGACAAAACGCAGCTTTTATAATATAAAAAATGTCCATGGGGCTGCCATCTCTCTCTCCTGGGAAGAACGTGCGCGCGCGATGAAAACACGCAACATCATAATCGCGATATAAAAATAATGAAACAGATTCCGCGCGAGATAGGCTGGCACGATGCGCGCCTCTATCGAGCTCTACGCTACTTCATTGCATCGCTTTAAGATTGATATATGGCTCCGTAATTAATTATCGCGCCGTTAACGCACCGCAGGGCTTTTTCTCTCGGTGTTGCGGCGAGGCCACGCATTTTCTACACACTGCGCTAATTATCTCAATTCGTTGTACGTGAATTGAATAATGCATTTATTTTATCAGATAATTACCCGCGGCTTATCGAATCAAATATTCCGGCTGTGTTTACGCTATTGTTTCCCTTTCGTTCTTCTTTCGAAAAAAACGGCGCGTCATTTCCGTTAATTTCGAGTCTCGGTAAACGTCCCTTACCCTTTTTTCGCGCATGAAAGTCTCTCAATCAGAAAAATGTCTTGTGATTAACGCGATGCTTTTTCGTGTAAAAAACACATTTCGCGCGCGAGATTCATTAAATAATTTCAATTCTTAATTGTAAGGTATCATTAATAACTTTTTGGATTTTTTCACATCTACATCGACTTTCTATATCGCATTTCTCGATATTTTTACGTCGGAAATTGATGTTTTTAATACCGGAATAATTAATGTATATATCGCGTTATTCGTTCGTTATTATGAATTATGCGGGTTAGGTTTTAGTTTAATTTTATTTTTAGTTTGTACGCAAGCAGTGACGAGGATTCTGAAAGTTGATGTTAGGGTGGTGCATGTTCGCAGACCTCTCGCCACTAGGTGATAAAGGCGGAAGTCTCGTCGACGAGCTGGGCGGCGGCGGCGGCGGTTCCCTGAGGAACGGCAAGGGCAAGAAGATGAGGAAACCGAGGACGATTTACAGCAGCCTGCAATTGCAGCAGCTCAACAGGCGGTTCCAGAGAACGCAGTACCTCGCGCTACCGGAAAGAGCGGAGCTCGCGGCCAGCCTCGGACTCACGCAAACACAGGTCAGTTCTATAGGCGTATTGAAGGAGACTAGAGCGCAAGCTTCCCACGACGCGGCAATGATAAACAAGCTCTTATCTCGCGCTACCTGCCGCAAGATAGCGTAAACAAATTAAGATAAACGTCGATGCGAAGTATAACATTTGCCAGGGAACTGTAGGGGTATCTTTCGGACATGGCGCATTTTTTCCCCTTGATTTGTTTTAATTATTTACTTCGGGGTGCTAAAATGACGTTATTTATTTTAGAGTACAGCATTAATTATTCAAGATTATTTAATAATTATTTTTAAATATGGAAAATTATTGCTAGCATTTGAATAATTATCACAGCAAAATTACGTGTAACGCGCCTCTCTCGTGACGGGGAAATTTTGCTTCAAAATTATTAGTTTATTTATTACACATTAAAATTATTAGTTTATTATTACACGTGACAGTTTTCACCAAGCGATAAAATATCCGGGACGTATATTTCCGCGGGCGAAAACAGGTTTTTCACTTTGAGATAAGCATTATCAGGAAGCGCTGTTGGAAAGGCCTCTCAAAATTGCGTAAACGAGGCAATTCTGTGAACAACGACACATCGTATCGAAGGCTGTCGTCGAGTTAATTACCGAGATCTCGCGTCACGACTGGAATTTTGAATTTTATCGAGACGGCAATACTCCTCCTCCCGCGATGGATGGATCCGGTTATACATGTACGCGATCCACGGTAACGGGAGCCACCGATAAACGGCATCTGTCAGCATTATCGGCACAAATGACTTAGTAAATCACTGATTCGCCACGCCCTGGACATTGGGGATAGGGTTGCCGCCAGTGTCCAGTGTACCGAGGCGGGGAAAGAGAGCGAAGGAGACAAGTTTGCGAACTAACGAGGTGACCATAAATTTTCCCCCGGCGATCGCGCGAGTTTCGCGCGAGCTTTCCATGCGGGCGAGCCTTTATGCTCTCGTCGCCCGGTTTCCAATTAACGATTTATTAGAAAGATCGAGCCGCATAATCGGAGAGAAGTTAATTAGGCCTGATCCTATCCGTGTGTATCGCAGATTTCTCGAGCCGAAAATCCGAAGCTAATTAAAACGCTCTCGCGATAATTTGAATTTATTCGGATCGACTTGCGTGTCGTATCGGCAGTTTACTAGACAATTGGTTAATTAGCCAACATCCTCGTGAATTATACCAGTGTCCTTTTTCTACCGCGTTACGATCTAACGAAATTACAAGGTTCTTGTCGCAGAATTGCGCGTTTCATTGATCGATGCAGATGGAGCAATTTTCGCGGTTGCTCTTTGTGCGTTCCTCAACCCTCGAAGAAGCGTGTACAATCGTCGCAAACGCGTATGGCGCGGTGCGTAACTGCGTATCACGCGCGTAATCACGGGATAACTGGCTGTCGTAGTCGGTTGATGTCGTTGCAGGGGGTCCCGGACCGGATAATTTCATTAGACGGAGCACCGCGGGAGTTGTTCTCCCCCCTCGTGAGCGAATGAATCGAGCGCGACGCAGCCTGATGAGCGGTCGGCGTCAGGTTGTTTACCAAACATGTGCTCTCTTGAAATCAGCGATGGCCGCGCGCGGAAGCGAGAGATTAAATGACGATGCCCCGTAAGAGACGATCCATTACACCTTCCGCAATGTTATCAAGACGCACCTGTTATTCAATCATGTCGAAGTGTCGCGAGAGCAGAACGATAAATCTTTTTCGCGCGACCGTAAAAATCTGCGTAGATAGAGCTAATTGGATTTCACGCGTCCAGGGTGTATCGCGCGCGATATTTTTATCTCTCTCGCGAGACGGGGAGAGGATGACTTATATCTTTAGGAGAAACAACCCGTCTCTCTCGGCGTCGAGTTCGGGAAGAATGTTGGCCGCGCGCGATCGGCGCGGCTCCTCGGCAGGCACCGTGCATAATCCGTAATCGCCCAATCAAGGCGTTCGACCAAGCGCCTCTCTGCCTCTGCCTCTGCCTCTGCACTCTTGGCCCAGCTACCGTCGCGCGCTAGCTTTCTTGTCATCGCCACCAACATGGCGCCTTAGCCTTCGGTCTCTTCCATCTTCTCCTCTTCCCTCGTCTCCTTCCCTCTCCTCTTTGCGCCACGACAGCCGCGTCGTCCCCCCTCGCATTTCCCCACCGGCTTCTCCCCATTCTCTTCCTCCTCTTCCTCCTTTCCCCCTTTGCTCGAATGGCCAAGAGGGAAAGAGAGAGAGAGAGAGAGAGAGAGAGAGAGAGAGAGAGAGAGAGAGAGAGAAGAAGGGGGAGGGCGGGAGCGAGATATCGAGGTGAGGCCACGCATCTCTTTTTCTCCGGGGCTTCAATTTGAGGACGTGGTAGCGTTCGTGCCGCCGGTGTACACGAGATACGCGAAGGGGGTGCGAAGGGGGCCCGAAGGAGGCCAGAGGGAAGGAGGGGGCGAGGTGAGGAGAGAGCGGGGAGTAGGGTATAGTTGCTCACGCGAAGTACACGGGCAACGCGCTCTCGCTCGCGTGGATGTATACGTTAGGGACGTGGACACCAGCACGCCTGTCTGCGTTCCTGCCACGTACCTTGGGCGTGGTGCTTCCTTTTTCTTCCTCCTCGCCACGACTAACGTGCCCGATCTCTCCTCATTGGCCCCGGGAATGCGAACACGTCGAAGCGAGATTCGAAAGTCGCGAGAGGGAAGCTCGCGAAGACGCGACGTGAATTTCAAATTCCTCCCTGTCATCCCCGGTAGACAGGGGTCAGGCATCTTTGTAGCTTTTGCGACTTTGGGAGGACGAAAACTTTGCGAGGCGAGGTAGAAGAAATAGATTGAGAGAATATCTCTGTTCGTACTTTTGGTACATAACATTCTGCAAATATGCATCAGCATCTTATATTTGTCTTATATAGATCTTAAGATTTGGAGCAAAAGTGAAATATGTTTCCACAGCCATTTACTATAAATACCGTAATATTCTGTTTTTAATTGTGTACACACGTTTTAGATCTTCCATCGCTATTGCTATGCAGCCTTTATGCGAAAATTGTATAGAATTATGTTTAAATGCGGGATACGTGAATACGGATTTGTAAGAACAGACGTCTTTTTGCGGTCGAGCTTCTCTCATTAAGTTTACGAATAAACATAAATTATCGGATGGCCGGCGCGAATCGCGTCCAAGGTCCTCGGAAATCCCTGTCACGAAAACATGCGATACAGTTTTCGCGGAAAAACATCGCACACATCATCGAAAACACCACACGTGTAGTAGATGAACGCGCGGATAACTATTATTTATGCATGAATGCGCCTGCGAGAACACGACTACCGGTCGCTACTGTACTATAGTTGTCTCGGTATGTTGAAATATTTGCGCGAGAATCCACAGAAGTGAAAAAACTATTAGCATAAATGACGGAAAAGAAAACAAAAATCTACGCAATGCATAAATTACACGACAGATTTTCAGAGTGAAAGATTGTCATTAGTTGTTCCACAGTTTACGTATCAGTTTAATTTAAATTTATCAGAGTCGATTTTTTTTTAATGAGTTTATTTGCATCTTATACATATCATATTTTTCTAACATATATAATTAAAAAATGTTTTGGATATATATATATATATATATATATATATATATAAATAAATATATATATGAATAAATATATATATAAATAAATATATATATGAATAAATATATATATAAATGTTTTGGATATATATATATATATATATCCAAAACATTTTTGGATATATATATATATATATTTGTAATAATATTTTTCTAAAAAATATAATTAAAATATATTTCAAAGATACAAAATTATTAGTAGATTATTATTAATATATATCAATTGAAACGTTATTTTATAATTGACAGTTAAAAGAATCTAAATAATGTATAAATATTTGCGTAGAAACTTATAAATGCCGTTGATTACAAGATGTAAAACGTTGAATTGCAAGATATAAAACAGAAAAATCAAAGTTTGCGGATTTATTGATCCGCAAATATGTCTCGTAATTTAATAATGGTGTCCAAGATTTTTTGAATTAAAAAATAATCCATGCAAAGACAATAATCGTAGTCGCATTCTGATAATCTGATAGAAAAATCATCGCTTGTCAGATTCATTGCAATTTGCTAAATTTTCTAAGTTAAATAATAATAATCCACACGAAATCTTCAATCAATAATACTTTAACTCGCTCGGTTCAATCAATAATACTTTAACTCGCTCGGTTCGCAATTCAACAAAAAATCGAGATTCGCGACTCGTAAACATCTCACGTCTTATTGATAGCTTGAAATTTTTCTCAAAAAGAACTTCTAATCTTTCTCGCACAGTCTCTAATTTCTTCGGCGAAAGAAATGGCTCAACTAAAGATGGTTTGGCTTTCGGAAACTCGATATAATTTATCTACAGATAAAATTAAATCAAAATTCACTGACACTTTCGACACTTTTGTACAACTTTAAATGATTAAAGTGTTTCATAATTGATTAAGGTATAAGATAATCGTTTCTATCTATAATGTACATCCAAACTATCATTGAATTTCTTCGTATACGTGTTTAATGTTTTAATAACTCAAATTATCAAATATAATTATTTCGTAAATTTTAGTTATTCTCACAAGCTCATAATTATAATTGGTACAATTATAAGCATTTTCTTAAAAGTCAATTTACTGAAGACATGCTTAATGATCACGTTGGAATTATTGCAGTCGTTTACGGTGTCCTTAGATTTCAAAACTATGAATTCTGATGGAAATTTGACAATACAAGTAGAAGCGATTAAATTGTAAAGAGAAAACTTGTTGACGTGGCTGGCCACGACAAATATATTTGATATGTTTTGTGTATCGATCACACTTTATCGTCGCGATAAAATAAATCGGCTCGTCGATGTGTCTGTGTCACGCCTGTTGTTCTTCTCTCAAACGAAATTATACTATAGAAATATAGAATCCAATTAGCAAATGCTTGTCTCGCAAATGATATCTATCGGTAATGATATCTAT